CTATTCATTCCGGTTCCTTAGCGCCACTTTCCCATCCCTCTCCTGTACTGCCATCCAGATTTTAACGCGTATCCAATTCATCAAGGGGATTTCGCAGTGGAGCATCTGGATCTGTCCCTCTCCGTAGCAGTTTTGGGGTCACTGCATTGTGGAATTCCTCTTGCCAGATCTCCAGGGTGTACAGGAGGGAAGCAATTTCATTTCACGTTAGTTATGTCCTAATGCTTTAAAAGATTTCTGGGTGTCCAAGCTGTCAAATTAATATTTCAAATCCCACAAGCATTATAGACTTCATGTACATCATCACAATTACATGAAGAAATCCCATATTACCCAGAGGTCTTTTTTTAATGGTTGATTGCTCCTAAATTACATTGCATCAACAAAGAATTGACTAGAAGAAACCCAGAAAGATATTATAAAGTAATTTTCACACCTTTACAATTTAGTTTGAATTTAAAAAGACAAAAAGGTTCTCGCCGATACATCCCAGGTAGCTTTAAAATCTGTGAGGGTCTGGGTTAGGGGTTTTTTGTCCTACCTTCATTAGTGATTTATCTTGCCTTCTAAGATCCACCAAGTGCAGGTTACCAATGATCGGAAGAGGAGTTGGACCAGGAGGTAATTTGAAAGCTGAATTTTTATAGCCATTTGAAAAATAGACTACGGCTAATAATACTGTTGCACAGAGCAGACAAATTAATGCAGGATCAGAGAGAAACGAAATTAAAAAAGACATTTTTTTTTTAGTAATAATCTGTTTTTTGGGGGTTATAAGCAATAAAAATGCAGTGGCACTGTTCAGTTTCTGCCAGCTGGCTTTCTGTTTGCTCTCTGCGATTGCTACAAGCACTCGATTCTTATTAAGGTTTGTAGAGTACCTAAATAAATACTGCATACTCCACCCTCTTTAAACACCTCAGAGAATGTGGTCTAAGCAGTTTGCAAAGCCTGTCCAGAAGTAAAGAGAGTTTCAAATTACAAACCCATGCATGTGTGTGCAAGAACATATACATGGGAAAAGGTGCTTGGCATTCCTCTATAACCTCCTCCTCCCCGAGACCTCAAGGTCCTTCATTACCAGTACTATGACCCTCCAAGCACTCTGCTGACACAAGGAAATATAAAGATTTTTTATGAATCCTATTAGAACGTCCAGATTCAGATTGAGATAGGATTTGAGATCTCTGTGTTACTAGAGAGAAAAAATAGTATTGTTATGGGAGACTTTGGCTTTCTTGATGTCAAGTGGAGATCAAAGGTTGTTAATAATGGTAAAGCCCATGTATCCCTGGGGGCTTGTAGCCCATAAATTTCTTCATAAAGTCAGCTCTGAACTGCCCAGAAGGGATGTGATTTCAGACTTTGTGTCTGAAGCAGAGGACATGTAATAGCTAGCCATGGAAAATTAGCTTGGATCAAGTGATCATGAGTGGATTCATGAGTGGAATGGAAAGACAAAATTAGATTTGAAGCTTCTGGGAGGACTCTTCATTTTGTAAGAGCAGCTTCTAAGAGATAGAGGGAAGATATTGGGGAAGTTAATGAAGCCAGCTGACCTGGCAGGCTCCGGAAGGGGAACAAGACAGGAGAATGGAATGATTTTAAGTCAAAGATGCTAAATACCTGGAGTTTGTATCCCTCATAAAGGTTTAAATCTTGTAGAAAATAACTGAAGTCTACCTGGTTGAATAGTGGTTTTCAGGGGGAAGTTGGAAATAAACAGCCAAAGGAATAAGATCGTTCAGGGAAGAAAGAGCTCTGTTACATGATGAGGAAGCGCAAGGTTAAAGGTACGTTTGTCCAAAGGTTAGATGATATAAAGGCCATTATTCAGCAAATATGGTCCCTCAGCCTTCCAAATGCAAAGAAGACAGGGAAGGAAGAGGACCTGATCCAGAGTGGGACATAGCTATGGTGAGCAGGGTCCCAGAGCAAATGGTGCTGTGTTGCACACTGGAGCTCTCTGTGTGGTGTGGAGATGTTACAGCACAACAGCCACCCAGAAGCAGAAGCAGCGAGTGTGTCACAACATTTCTGGGATTTATTTTTTTATTAGTTTCCAAGAAATGGGCAACGGTTTCCCCCAGAGCATGCCTAGGATGACTCAACCCTGCCTGCTTCAGCGAGTGAGGAGGCAGAGGGGCTGTAAAGACAGGCAGGAAAGATCAGGCTGGCACAGGACACAGACCGTGGGCACTGTGATGAGAACTTGCACATGCTCTGCACACTGGGCAAAATGCTTGTTCCTGCAGGGTTTTCTCTGATCGGAAGCACCCTGTAGCGCAAAAGCTACGTGTTGCTGGCGCTCTCCTGGTATTTCATCCTTGCCCTGGGAACCTCTGAAATCCTAAAAAGGTCTTTCAGAGACTTAAATTATCTCTGAAAAGCCAAGGGGAGTGTATTGTGGGTTTTTTTTTCAAACCAGGCTCTGAGTGCAATGCATTAAAATGACAAAGGTAAGTAAAACTCTTGCGATGACAAGAAATTCCTGTCTCAATAATGTGTCTGGTACGTGTTTCGCTCCGGAGCTGTGCTGCTACGTGCTGCCCTGCCTGAGCACACAGAGCCGAGCATGGAACACCTGCCAGGCGCTGACACTGCTCCGGGTGCATTCCTGGGGCAGCCGGGCCCCTCGGGGTGCTCCTGGCCGGGTTGTCCTCCATCCCTTTTGCCCACGTGGCACTCTGCCACCCCACGTGAACCGGGTGGTGCTGGTGAGGACGTGGAGCACAGGGCATCGGCCTCCTGAAGTGCAACCAGTGCCAGACAGCCAGCCTGGGGAGAGCCAGCCAGTGAAACACCAGCCCTGCGTCATTTAACTTAAATCCTCCCAAATTTCTGTGCCTCCGCTGCCAGTCCCATTCTTGACCAGCAGTGCACCTAGGACTGCAGGCTCAGATAACTCCTGATGGCTTTTACTGTGATGAGTTCCTTGTAAGCAAGGACAAGAGACACAGGGACCACTGTAAGGGGTCACATCATAGAGCCACATCCTGACTCACACAGCAGTTGTGATTTTCTGGAATTAAAATTCAATTATTTCCTTTGAGCTGTTTGTGGCTATGAGTATTGCTCACTCTTTGTTTTGCCAAACATGTCCTGGCTGCATGTGCTGCCCAAGGATCCCTGTGCTCACCTCTCTGGTGTGGGTGTATTAAAGGTGGTGCAGTCCAACTTTATCAGTTTGACCCAAAATCAACTTCATACTGTAACACCAGATAGATCAACAACAACAGAACAAAATATTTAATGATTAAGTGGGTGAAAAGGTCAGGCCTGCAGTAGTCAGACTGCAAATAGAGCAACAGCAAAACAAACGTAAGCAAGCGCAGCGGGGAAGGCTTCCTTGTTGCTCAGTTTGCCCAGCAGACTCCTTGAGCTGTAACCAGGAGCTGGCCCTGTGGTACAGCACGTGTACAAGTGCAATACCAGTACAAGTACAAGGTACAGTATAAATGTTAGAGTGCTGCCTTTAGTTGTGTGAACTAAAGCTAGTGAGAAGAGTCAGTGTCTTGGCCAGAGGCCACCCTACTTTGTCATCCCTTCATATTCTTTCTCCTTTCTTTCCTTCCATTTGCGGCACAGATCAGCTTTAGATGACAGCAACTTTAATTTTATGTTGTAGATTTGCTGTAACTGCCCCCTCAGTCTCTATAACTTTATTTCTCCCTTTTTTTTGTGTCATCCTAACCTTCCTTTCTCACTTCCAAACCAACACAAAAGCGTCTCTAGTGACTCACTTCTCCCTAACCCACGTGTGGTTTCCTGCCTGTTTCACAGCACACAAAGCAGCCTCCTCTCTTGTACCTGCACCCTCATTCAGATTTCACTCATGTATCATGCTTCCCTCAATGAGTGTAGCCTTGTAGGTACAGCAACTTCTTCCTACTCCTAAGGGATGCTGCATGAAATAAATCATCAATTGTAGTAATCAAACAGCTGCTCTAGGACAGCCAGAGTCTCTGGGGTGTCCCCAGCTTTCCACAGAGATCCCCATACAACAAGTTAATTGTACAGGTAACCAAGTTGGTAACAAAGTCTAATCTGCTTCTCCTTCCAGACTCTATTATTAGTTCTACATCTGTTTTCACAAGGACAGGTGGAGAAGAGGGCTGAGCCTCTCCCAGCTCTCTGATGGAGTGTGGCAGTCCTGCTGCCCAGCCCCAGGCTGCATCGCCCTCCCACTGCCATGGACTTGTCACTTTAGCCACACTGATTCAGAAACCCTTCACTTGCCATGGCTGGTCATTTTCTGACAGTTTAGAGATCTATGATGGCCCAATAAGGGATTGGACAAGTGCCAGAGCCAGGATGAAGCCAGGAGAGGTGAGGGAGTGGTAGAAATTCCTTTCTTAGCAGCAGCAGAAAGCTGCTAAATTGGCCCCATCATAAACAGGCTGTTCAGCATGAAGTGCCTGGTGTGAGTTGGAATGAACCCACTTCCCAAACCACTTAGATGTTTTCTGATAACTGTCCTGTGCCTGGGTCTTGGCATCAGCCCACGTTACACCCTCATGTCTGGGACTCTGTAATAAAGATAAGGCAGGTTGCATGGCACAATGGAAGCTCAGTCTGAGGCTCAGCTGAACAACCGTCCTGAGGAGATTTCCAGATCCATTAAGTGTCTGTTGTCTCCAGCTGGGCCATCAGTAATTAGCTCTGCTGTAGAGCTTGGACTTTGGGCTGAGAAATTCCCCTTGGAGGCTGCCAGGGGAGAGCCTCTGATGGGTTACATCTATAGAGGAGCCTTGAAGGCATTTCATTCTTTCAAACAGTCCTGAAAACAGCATCTCTGGTGTGCTGTTCCAGGAATGAATCACACTGCTTCTGAGAGCAGTATTCAGGGCTGTCTGAAGGGTTTGCATTAGAGACACCACAAGAGCTGTTGGAGAGAATAGCATGAATGAGAAAAATAGCAGTGCCTGGTGTCTTCCTTGCCCTAAAGCTCAGGTACAGATGGCTTTTGCCCCCTGTAACTAGACTTGCTTTCAAGCTTGAAGTGTTCACTACTCTACTGCCATGTTGTTTGATCATTCACAGGGCACAGCACAAACCAGGTGAGGCATGGGGTTCAAGGTAAAGCCGACATCAGCGGTGAGATCCAGGTCTGATTTATCCACTCCTGGAGGGGGACAAAAAACAAATTTGCGGAGCAAGCCCCCAAAAAAGAGGAACAGCTCCATTTTGGCCAGTCCTTCACCAAGGCAAGCCCTTCGTCCTGAAAACAACCAGGAGAGAAGTTAATGATCAGCATTGTAACTGTTAGTGTTGATCTCTGAGACCTAAACTGGAGATACAGTCTGTAAGAGCAGACTGCTGAGGTAGGAAATTTTCCCTTCCTTCTCTTTGTATATTGAAGGTGCTACTGACTTAATCTCAAGCTACACAGAGGGCTGTAGGTATATGAAATTATTCAGTGACTGTGAGTAAATCAGTGTCTCCCAGATCTCCCAAAGAAGAGGTGGTTACCGACAGCAATGGTGGACAGAAAAAAATGACTAGAAATTCCTCATCATCTGTTCTGTATCCCTGGCTTTCATACTTTTCTGAATCTGGGGGAACTACCATTAGCCTAGCCCCAGGTGGCACAGCCCCCTCTCACCTATGGAGAATGGAATAAATGCTTCTCTCCTAATGAAGTTCCCATTGGCATCCAGGAAATGGGAAGGATTGAACTGCTCCGGGGTTTTCCAGTGTAACTCATCATTCAGAGCAGAGGTCAGCAGTGGAATAATCTCAGTACCCTGAAAGGGATCAAAGAAACACATGGAAGAGGAGATCACTCTCCTAGTTGAGCCAGAGTACTTTCTTGTTTCTAATGTGAAGAGGCAAGTAAGACTGAGCCATGACAAATAGAAATGGGGATGCTTCCCTGCCCCATTGTGGTTCTGCCTGTTATCAGTAGCTGCTCTTTTATTTTTTGGACCACAAAACATTCCTTTCTTACAGAGTCAGATCTTTCAAGAAAGATGTTGAAGTAGACGCTCCACATTTGACATAAAAGATTCAAACCAGTGCGATTTAATTATGGTTATTCAAGATTCAAACAGCTGTAACAGACCACAGTCCATTGTATGCTGCAACAGTTATCCTGGATCCAAGACAAAGGGTCACATGAAAACATGCATCATGGTGTCTTTAATTATTTGTATTTTTCTTTGCTTTAAAGAAAACTGTAAGGAATCTGTACAGCATAAGCTGCTGTCCTCAAAGCTCACCTTAGGAATCACATAGCCTCGGAAATTCACATCTCTGGGAGTTGATCGTGATACACCCATAGGGACAATATTGGCAAACCTTTGTATTTCATGTATCACTGCTTCTGTATAAGGCATTTTTTTCCGGTCCTCCAACTTAGGCAGCTCTCCTGGTTCAATGACACGGTTCATTTCTTCCTGAATCTTTCCTTGGAGGGAGGAAAGGATTAAGAAGCTGATAACGATCTTACCTTGCAACTGAAATGATTTCCAGTTTGGCAAAGATGAAGAAAAGGGAAAACTGTGAATATTTGGGAAGAGCAGAAGTGGGTAAGCCAGGGCATGGTATGGCTCTTTCAGGTTTGTTGTTGAGCCAAGGAAACTTGAACAGAGTCGCTACAGTCCATCCCATGCCTGATTCTGACTACACACCTTTGTTACCCCATAACCTTCCACAGAAACCAGATCAGAATCAGCTCCTGAGGAGACCTTCAGTGACGTAAGCCCATAGCCTGCAGGTGAATAATCATGGGGGAGCTTTACTGTAACTGTAGACTGCCCCTCAGCCTCTCCCACTTGGCTGGGCTGGTTTATTGCAATTCAGTTGAAAAAAAATTCCTTTACAAAGTCAACGGTTGTTATCACTCTCAGAGCACTCAGAATCATTACTCTAGGCAGCACTGAATGAGTTCCACTCCTTTCCACAACCAAAGCCTTAAGCATACAACAAGGAATTGTACAAGAGATTTGTCAGCCTTACTCTGAATTTCTGGGTATTTCATCATCAGAAGGAGCCCCCAGCGCACAGTTGTAGATGTAGTTTCAGTCCCAGCAGCAAAGAGGTCTAAGGTTGAAAACATCAGGTTTCCATTGTCGAACATAGTGTGGGGTTTCTTTGACTCCTTCAAAACATTTGGGTAATGGCCATAAGTTCTACAGCAAGTAACACCTATATGTGACTGTGTTGCCACCATTTTTATCTGCATTTTAGGGCTCTGTGACTCTAAACATGCTGGAAAACGAAACATTTAGCATTTTAGCAATACGGCCTGTGCTGTGTGGAATTTGTCTGGTCCCAAGCATATGGGCAATACCCAGCTCTAGATATTAGTTGTAATTTTTTTATTGCAATGCACTTTATAACTGTGCCATTCTTGCAGGAAGGTTTGGGGTGATCTCCTCTTTATGTGTGCTGAGTGGTAACTTATGTCACACACATGGGACATCATGACAACCTTTTAACCAGCAGTTTCAGTGGAGCCATGGATTAAGTCCAGCACAGCTCACTGTGAGTATAAGGTTTGATACATCCTGTTCACTGCAATCCTTCTGTCTCCATGCGCTCCCAGTCCCTGACAGATGGCCAGTCCTAAGAATAAGTCATAGCTAAGAGAAGAGAAAGACTCTGAGAATCAGCTTTAAGTACCTTTTGTTGCTTTACCAGAAAGGCATCAACAAAGCCTGTTAAGTCATTTTCATTAAGCTCCTCTTTATGTTGCTGGAAGAGCTTCTGGAGGAAAGTGTTCAATTCACTGATATTTTGTAGCACAGTCTTGGAAGCTCCAGAGAGAAATCCAAGATATGGGTAGAAATTATATAACTGTGGAACGAGAGAATTCTTACTGTTAATGGACATTTTGAACGCATACAGGTATCTCAAATCACACTGCTTGTCCTTTGTCCCATGCCCTGACATTTCAGGCTGTAATTCCCCCACATTCACATGTACTGTCTAAGCAGCAATGGATTCCTGCAGAAGCAGAGTGTTCTGTTATGTCTCTGCATGAGTCCTTGCCATGACTTTTGGGAGATTCACCAGTTTAAATCTTCTTTCAGGGCTTCCAGCTGTGTAGATGGTGGGACAGAGGGTTTCAGATGTGAAAGATGGGAATGTGAGCATTGTACTTACTCCAGGGAAGGTCCTCAGGTGTGCCACACCCCTATGGCAGCAGAAGGGACTTGAACTGGCCACCTTCACAGACAGACAACATTACTCTGACCTGTCCTTGAATGGTGCTTTTTGGGCTTATCTAGTCTGGGGTTACAGACAGACACAGACCTCAGTGTGGCTCACTCCACTGGTGGTCAAAGCAGAAGCTTTGTGTCAGGAAGGAACAGGTTTATATCAGGCTGTTAGCTTGCTAAGGTTGAATTTCAGTGGCCAAAATGAAAGAAAAAGAGGTTTGTCAAACTTGGTACTAGGGGAAGCAGAACTAAGAGAGTTACTGAATGTGAAATACAAGGAGGCAGGTTGTGCTTCTGCTCTTCAAAGAGAGTAAAGTTGTTCCTTTTGTGAAGATTTTGGAGGGTTTTTTTCTTTTACTAATAAGCTTCACTGACTAAGCACAGGGACCTGGGAATCTATGTGTTTCAGATACAGAACCACAGATGTGTTCTGTACAGGCTGGCTGGCTGACAACATTCTTGTTTTCAGGAAGCAACTTGTGGGAGGCCAGGAGAACAAATATGGACAACTTGATATCCCCAAAAAATCTGAAAGGTAAAACATAAAATAGAGCTCTTACCAGCACCATAGGGGAGCCCAACAGCTTAGCATTTTGATTTATCAGTTCCAGCAATGTAAGAAACGCAGGATCATCATATTCAAACCTCTCTCCAAACAGTATCGAGCAGATGACATTGGATACAGCATTGTTGAGTATCATTTTTGTATCAAATGGTTTCCCTGTGTTTCAAGCAATTAAAAGATAGGACAATGTGACTGTGCTTTTTTCAGTCTGATTTCCTGTGGAAATGCAGTCCTGAGCTCCCAAAGAAAACTCATTCCCCACCCAGAATGCATAGCAAGGAACTTAGTTTCAGTGTTTTAAGGCCTCGGTTCAATAACCTACTGCAGCATATGCTGAACTTTAACCACCATTTGCTGAGATACCATTTGCTCAGAGTTAAACTTTCATTAATTTTTATTGTTCTGCTAGACCTGTTTTCTGTCTCTGGAAGAAAGACTTGACACTCACCATGATAGGATTCAAAATATTTGATAAGGGCATTTACTTCCTCCAGGATTTGGATCTCCAGGGTTCTCTTTCCCATTCCGAAATCCCGCAGTGTGGACAAGGTAAATCTTCTCATAGTTTTCCATAGCTCTCCGTGGCTGAATGCTATGCCTAAAATAAAGATGTAACATCCTATGTCATCTGTTGTTCATAAACATTTTAAGGCTTTCTTACACACTGGCACCTCTTTCAGATCACAAAAATGGATCTGTAAGATGGCGATACCCTCTGCTGTAAGAAGGTACTGAAAAAACTACAGAACTAACCAATCAAAAGGTCAATTACCATTTCCCTGTGTCATTTTCCTAAATATGGGTATTTCTGCCCTCTCTCCAAATTCTTCAGCATGATTCAAAAGGGCGTCCTTGATGGTTTCATACCCAGCCAGTACCACGGCTTTCCTGGGTCCAAAATGCACGGTGAAGACGTTGCCATATGTCTTGGATAGCTGACAAGGTGAATAAATATGTTCATTCAAAACCAGATCTGGACTCAAACACTAGTACCAGCCACCCTAGGTGGATTTTAGACCAAAAGGAGCCTCCTAGCCCTGCCTGAAGTCTCCAGGTGCTGCTGTAATTCAAGTAATGAGCAACAGCTATCGATTGCCAGCATCTCAGCTTGCACCCTGTTTGCACAACAAGGTGTCTGCTATCACTGCTCCTATCAGAGGAGTCAATAAAATGCCATTGCATTCCTGTGGTGTTCTGTAGTAACAGGCCAGTGCAGTGATACCACACTGGGAGGCTGTTTGGAGAATGCTGTGGCAGGCAGGCCTGTTTATTGTAATGCTGTTGACCTGAGGCAAGTGGGTGTGCACACACCTTTGAGGCTGAAGCCACAAACACTGCAAAAACAAAGCTAGACAATAACTCTTTCTTTCAGGACAGCACTTGTCTCCAACTATGGCAAGGTGCATAGTGTTGCAGTCATTGCAAAATTATTTGCTGGCCACCAGAAACTAGGAAGCCTGTTCTTGTAGATAATGTCACAGGAGCACTAGGCTTTTACAGCAAATTAAATATGGATCATCTGCTACACAGAAAGGTAGCTTTGACAAGCTAATCATTCACTTGGTATTTTAGACTTCGTTTAAACACACTTCAAGCCACCAGCTCCAAATGTCTTCTTGTTTCTGATGTGCCTGGGTTACCATTTGCTATGCATTAGATACATTCCACAAATTGAATTTCAGATTAGAAGCAGCTCCTGTTATTACACCAGACAAATTGAATTTGTTTTCATCAAATGGTGGTTTGACGGCTTGGGAGATAACATTAGCACTGGTTCTTTCATCCCTGGCAGCTCACAGAGTGAGCAGAGCCAGGGGCAGGGAATCACAGCTGCCTCCGAGCCTTCCTTTGGTCATTTCTTTGCATTAGTGGATGCTTCTTGGCATCCACTCTGTTTTTACTCAGAAACACAAGTATTGAATGTGGAAGGCCTGAAAGCCTAAATAAAGCTGCTTAGTAGATTACAGGAAACGAGTCTGGTGCCATCACATGACATTTGTATTATAAAATCCCCCAGTACTGCCAAAAATAGTTGCTCTTTCATACTGACATCCTCAAACATGCCTAGGATCAGAAGGGAGCTCAGGACCAGAAGCCCATCACAACTGGTCTCTGCACAATCCTCTGCACTGTAAATCAGGGCAGATGAGCACTGCATGCCTGCTACAGGAATTCCTTTCTTTTGCAGCCCAGGATGCCCTTTTTTCTACAATGAACTGGAGGATTTCAGTGTCTGCACTGCCCTCTCAGTGCAGATGTTCAAGTGGCTGAAGGAGTGCACTGTGGACTGTCTTTCCTCCATCACAGTGTCCAGTAAGCACACACAGGGCATGTGACAGGCCACTCACAGCACCTCAACTGTCTCTACAGCAACCAGATGATATCTGAATTCACACTGACTTGTCCCCAGCTCCCTATGGGAACACAGCAGACACTTTCGGAAACAAACATTGCCCCTGGCTTTATAATATTTAAGGGGTTTTTTTTCTTTCTTTTAAAAATAAAAGTATCCATGGAACTGCGTAAGAAAAACCAAATTTTTTAGCTAGACATATAAAAGCCACGTATCAAGTCCTTAATAACCCTGGTCAGTGTGTGTGTGCAGGGGAATGGCTGGGGAGGCAGAGTTGTGCTTTGCATTGCAGGGATATAATTAGCTTTGGAAATGTGTGCATAGGACCCCCTTCCCTCTGCTGTGGGGATGATACCCTTTCTTCCTTCCTTCCTTCCTTCCATCCATCCTTCCTAGAGGTCTGGCTGCAGTGAGACATCTCTTGATGGCAAATAGTACTGATTCGTTGGCATATTGGCCCAAATTGAGTCTTCTGCCTGCAGCTCTGAATGGCTTGAAACACCAACAGTATGGAGCTGATTGCAAGGGATGGTGATCTACATTGAAGTGCATAAAAAGAAAGGAGTGTGTGTATTATATTTATATATATAAACACATGTTTGTGTGTGTACACCTCCGAAGGTAAAGTCATTCTATCAGTCGGCCTATATGCCAAATATTTCTGCCCTCTATGCAAAACAAACACAATTGCATCTCCATTTCTCTAGTTGCATTTCTCACTTTGGGAATTGCACATTTTCCCCCTCTCTGCTCATCCAGCCCCTACCTCTGTCAGCGACTGGAACGGCTTTTTCAGGTCCACCACGTTCAAGTTTCCGATCAGAGGAAGAGGTCGTGGCCCAGGAGGCAAACTGCAAACCGACTTCTTCGAGCTGGTGAGAAAGTAAAGGAGAGCAAACAGCCCTGCTGCCAAACAGAGCAGTGAGCTGGAGCCCAAATACTGCAGGAAACTCTGCATGGCCATGTCCAAATCCAAGTGTGAGCATGAGCGTCTTGGGGTCTCTTTATAGCCCTTCTGTCATTTCCTGAACACACCTTCTGGGGAAGTGGCTTTGTGCAGAGAAAAGGACTCTGTGGTCTTGTTAACATCCATTTAGACCAGATGTACTTCATTATGCTGACAAATAAACCACGCTATGTTATTCTGAACCATGGATTATCGTAATCAGGAGTTCCTATTTCATCTATAACACTGAGACAAGGTGTTTGGTTTCCAGTGAAAATCCGTGTTTTGGGCATGTTGTTCTCTGCATTGTTTCAGGGGCAGAACTCAAGGACAGGACCCAAGCTGGATTGCTGCCATGGTGCCAGGTCACAGGACTCAGCTGGACCACTGGTGATGCAATGGAGGAAGCAGGACACAGGAAAGCCCACAATAACACATGGCCCAGGGTGCAGCTGGCAAGCAAGCCCTCAGGAAAGACAAGACTGACCATGGAGGAGTTGGAACAGTGGTTGCATAAAGATGTGCTAATTCAGGATTGCCAGTGGGAGTAGATCTATTTACAGGTGACAGCTTTGATTCTCTTTGCTTTCCTGCCACCCCAGTGAAACCACCTCCTTGAGCAACACAGTGTTTTCATTGCTAGCATTGTTGTTGATCTTTGTCCCAAAAATTCTCTACCAGCAATCCCAAACCGCTCCTGAAACCACTTCAGTCATTATTTTGCAGTTTACTGTCCAGAGGACTGGGTGTCCAAGTCTGGCTCTGTGCTTGGTGATGACTCCTTTTGTTTATGGGCAGATGCTTGTAATCCTCTAGGAGAAACCGTCCCCTCCAGGCAATCCTTCTGCCTAGACTGGAAAAGAGATCCTGAACCTTTGTAATCTGGGAGGAGCCAGGATCAGAGTGCAGCTGGCCAGGCAGAGGATGGAGGCTGCCTGGGCAGCTGTTGCAGAGGGGGTGCCAGGCAGGAGCAGCAGTTTTTTGGCCCTCCAGGTGCACTGAGTCATGCACCATGCCAGGGCAGGGGCCTGCAAGAGCCTGCGTGCCCGGGAGACAGCTCCCCAAGAGCCACCTACACCCTCTGCATCCTGGAGGGATGACAACAAAGCTGAGGTGATTATGAACAAGAGGCCACTGTTGAAATGGTAACTCTGGGGGAAAGAGTCAATTTGATGCTCTATCACATATTCTCAAGTGGGGATATTTTGTTCCCCAGTTGCAGATTCTGTCAGATTACTGGGCTGTGCTGCTGTTCACCCCTTTAGAAATCTTTAGCTTTAATAATACTTTTGATAGAATTCTCCAAGGCTCCCGGGTGCAGGCTCCACTGATGGAAAAATGATGATTATTTATTAATAATAATAAAAGTACATTAGCCGAAGGCAAGGGGAATCAATAAACTCTAACTAAATTGACATGAAAAAGGTGCCTGCACATCTGCCTGTTCTCCAAGGGTTGTTATCAGGAGTGGAGTTTTTCACAAGGGGGAACTTTCTTGTGCAGGGTGGGCAAAGAAAAGAGGGCAATGGATGGTTGTATCAGTCTCAAGATTTTCTGCAAAACTATGAGGTCTTTTTCTGCATTCTCTTCTCCCAGACATTTCCAAGAATATCAGAGTCTTCTCTGAGAAAATGGTGTGACCACTGGGACTCCTGACACTCTGTAATACACAGTAAGAGGGAGGAAAAAACCCTACATGGGGCCAGTTGGGCACCAGTGGAGGAAATCTGTTGTTTCTGTTTACATACAGGTCTGTTGGAATGGAGCTGGCTGCTGCCATAGCAAGCAAGAGCACCTTCCCAAGGGCTACCAATTTGTTTCAAGCTTCAGGTTGTACCTGGAGACAATATAGGGTGAAACCCTTTCTCAAATAGTGACCCCATGGACTTGCAACCTGCTGGGCTGGTGTATGCACTGTGGGAAATAATGGAGGAGCTCTCCAGCAGGAGGGAATGATTGCAGTCTTAAAATACAGCCAATCTGATGCCTTCACCTCCACTTCTTCCTCATATACCTTGGTTTCCAGTATGCAACTCCAAACACAGCCTACAACTGAGTTGCTGGCTTGCAGGTGAGGCATCCCACACAGGACTGGGGAGAAAACGTTGCTCCCTGCTCACGTGTCTTTGTCTTTCTACCAGCCCAAGCCAGAACTGATACCATCTTAAGGTAAGCAGACCTTGTGGGCACAGCTCAGTTCCTCCTAGAAAATGAGCCTGTACATTAAACAGCCACAGTAATTTCTGTGTGCTCATCTGGAGAAGGTCATATCATCTTCTAATGGGACACAGGTTAACAATGCTACAGTAACCGTAGGATAATGCAGGGAAAGAGTTGTTATAAGGCCATAATTCAGTCAATGGCTGCTGATAACATAATAAACCATGAGAGTGAACACCAAGTGCTTGTGTGCCTTGCAAGGCTCTGCCACTGATTTACAGCCTCTGGAGATGCCTATCAGCCCGTGCATTGTTATCAGGAATATATAAAGCCTGAGCACACCCTATTAAACATTAACATTTTTAAAGACCCAGATGTGTTAAAACTCGGGCTGCTCCTTGCTAATGGATTTTGCTTGCCTTGACAAATGCCACTGCAAAAAGAAATCAAAAGCTTCCCGACTTTGACCTCTTTCAATTTTTCATCATTATGGCATTGTTTTATTGGATTACACCCACTTCTTCCCACCCTGCCAATCTGTGTTTCTGCAGGATCACTACAGGGTGGTGATCAGTATCTCAAGTGTTCCGTATGCTCATTTTCATACAAATAACTTGTTAGTTTCTTTTCACTTATCTGTCAAACCAGTGTGGGCTGCAAATCTACTTTGAGAAGAAAGACTCCTAGAAAAATATTTTTAAAAATCATTATTTCACTGCAAAAATTTTTTTTAAAGACTCATGGGGGGTTTTTTTACATATTCTGAGCTGAAAGAATTTATGTGATGGGTCTGGTCACTGGGAGAAGAAAATAAAAAAATCTGTGCGTGGGATTAGTGCATTGCCCCTGTGCAGAGCCTGAGGTGGCAGTATTTTCCACTCCTGTTAAGCATTTACCATTCTTGGGAACTTTGGTGCTTCTAAAAGCCTTCTTCTTGTACTGAATGGATGCCATTCCTTCCTTAGTCTCATTCAGTGAGAAAACACATGGGAGATCCTCGGGTTTGGTGCTGGTAATGTTACTTTTCAATATGCATATCTACAAAAACATTTGCAGTAAAGTCCCTTGTGACCATAGCCAGAACCACATTCTTCCAGATCTCACATTTACACCAAGTCACGGCAGCCTGACCTGGGAAGTCAGAAATCAAATCAAATGCCTTGTCATAACTCCAAGGATTTTTTGTTCGGGGTCTCTAGCCTCAGTCTATCTCAACGGGGAGTATTGCAGAAATTGTATTAATCCAAGAGAAATTTGGGACATATCATGAAGGGTGATTAGGAGGTAGGTATTTACAGAGCCAGGGGCCCAGCATCTTATTTTTGGGCCCCTGTCTGGATGCAGGTAGAGATGTGGATTTAGATATACCAGAATCGCAACTAGCGGTGTAAGATAAAGGTTTACTTTGCATCTCAGTGCAGCATTACTATTTCTACAACATTCCTCTCTAACCTGATGAGGCTTTGGCTCAGTAATAACAGAAAATGAGCTATCACTCTGTACATCTTTGCAGAGCACATAACATATTAAGGCTCTGATCTCAGCGGCATGAAACTACAATTTCCCTGTAAGTGCAAAACAATAATACTTCATTAATCACCCACAACAAAAATCCCCATTCCCCAGACTATTCTGGCAATATTCTGCATTTTTGCTTGTCTAGGAACCTGAATTAAAAGGGAGAAAAATGGTTTACAACAGCCTGTGGCAGTGATGTAGCAAGAGACCTTATGTAAGAGCTGGCGGCATGCTCGCCTTGCAAGGGTGAGGTGTAGGAATGAGTGATCCTGGAAGGATGTTTCTCTGAGGTGTGTTCTGTGCCTGGGCTGGGAACAGCAGTCTCAAGGGCACAAATTCCAGCATCTGAATGTGCTTGGTCTTGTTCATCTCATTAATTTCTTACAGCTATCCCAAGTGAAGCTATGAAATCCCCGAGTACTTTACTCAAAGCCTTTCATGGCTTGTCAATAAATTATTTTCAAATTAACTACCTGATAATTTGAATATTTAGGCTTTTAAAAGATGCAGCGTGGTGCAAGAGAGAAAATAATGGAAGTCACCAACTTTACCCTGCCCATAAAAAAGAATAAAGGTTCTTCTCTGACGTATTATTCAGTTTGGTGCTTCTGAAAAGTAGTGGTGTGTAATAACTTCTTCTGAAGAGACATTTGTACAACTGACAAATAAACACCAATACTGGAATAAGTTTTCAGCACTAACTGACAACATCGTAAAAGAGCAAACAGTTTTTAAATGTTACTTTAGTCCATATTTAATGAATCTTTAGTTCCTAACTAATGACTAACAGCTCTGATTCAAGCAAAGGATTTTTTTTTTTTTAATCTATCAACCTCTCTACCTTGAAAGGGGAAGATCCAAGATATTCCCTACTTTGGGAAGCCTTCTAATTTGAGCCTTCTAATTTTTGGAAAGGGCTCAGGACTCCAGACTAGAGATACCCTGAAACACTTCATGCTTTACAAATTATCTGATTTCTCTTGTAAAATGGGCACTTTTTTATTGAAGCAGCTATTTCAGATTTCCCTGATGCTGTCAAAGTCTCTCACTTCTTTGAAAGATAATATGAAAAAAACATTTAATTCTCTGTTTATGGCACTGCTTTGTTTTTATTGAATTTCTTTGGAATTGGTTGGCTTAATCTGCAAATGAGATTTTTTTTTCTTCACACTGGTTATCTAACAGGGGTTTCACTTGATCTCCTTGGGAAAAACACATCCTTAACTGCAAAAGCACGTGTACTGGGTTGTATGACAGCATGTACCTTTAAAGGAAACTCTAGAAGATACAACTGGCATTTGCAATAAAAACATTAAGTAACCATAACCAAACATCTGCTACTATACCTGACCTGAAGGCGGGTAACTACAAAATTTAAGGCTCCAAAGACAGACAGTTAATAAATAGGTAATAAAAATATTTGTATATAATAAAATATATCAACTTGATACAGCCTTTGCCTGGAATAATGGAATCGTTTAGGTTGGAAAAGACCTTTAAGATCATTGAGACCAACTGTTCCCCCAGCACTGCCAAGGCCACCACTAAACCATGTCTCTCATCACCACATCTACATCTTTTAAATCCCTCTGGGGATGCTGGCTCCAACCACTGCCCTGGGCAGCCTGTTCCAAGGCTTGACCACCCTTTTGAGGAAGAAATTTTTCTTAATATGTACACTCCCACCCAACTGGGTGTCATCTACAAGCTTACTGAGGGTGCACCCAATCCCCTCATCCAGATTGTTGATAAGGATATTAAACAGAACTGGAATGGATTGTCACTGTCTGCCTGGGAATAATTCTGCTGTGGGATTCCTGTGTATCTTTTTCCTTTGACTTCTTCCTTCATCACGTGGGGAACCAGCAAGTCCAGAAAGTCAGGAACATAATTTGGGCAGTTTGCTAAAATCAAGTGCCTTGACACTTCAGCTAAACTTGTCCAGATGAACCAAAGCTGCTTCTCTGCTGCTCAGTCCTCTGAGATCTGGGAGACAGTTTGCTGCATGTATTTATGAAAGAGGAGTATCTCGCTTTTACCACCAAGTGTTGTAATGAAGTCAAGTGGAAAAGTGCCATTTGCCGTATAATAAAAACCCTCCATTGTTCATAGCACTGAACACCTAATAATAAAACCTTAAATTTCAGGCTGTTTAAACCAGTTACTTATGTAATAGAACACGGTGTAATTTTCCATTTAGAATTTCAATACTGTAATAAGAAAGCAATCAAGGCATAAACAAAACACACTTTAAATAGAGCTGCAGGTAGTATTTCCATAATGACTGTCCTTAAAAATTGAAGCTATTTCTCTTTTTTTTCCCAGCCTCGAATTCTTTCTACTTAGCTCAGTCATTTAATTAAAAGAAAAATCAACTTAAAACAGATGAAAGACTGTCTGAAACCAATTGCAGCTATTAGCAAAGAAGAAAAAATACTACTGTAATCCACTGTTAACACTCGGGTAGGTTAAATTAAAGCCATTTCTCATCCTCCTTTCAGGAGGAGATTGTGGATCTGCAGAGCATGTGCTGTAAACCTGCAGGCAATAGGGGTGTTTTTCTTGATTATCCATCTTGAGGATCTGGAAGTTGGTTTTACCAGCCTCATCAGCGTTCATGGCATGTGATGGGAACCCTCCTGCTCACCCATCCTTTGTAGGAGGCATAAAATAACTTGGTGCTGTCCATCAGGTTTGTGCACGGCATTAAACCATGGGGATTAATGAGGGATAAGCAATCATGTTATTACCACCACAGGCAGCTGATGGAAGAGTTCATGTCACTGCAGCAGGATGGGGATGGCTCCTCCAAAATCCTGCTGGGTTTCTGAGGGAAGTTCATACTGCCTCCCTGCAAGTGTTATCCCCAGGGCTCTGGGATCGCACCAGCCAGGGCTGGGTCCTGAAAAATGTGCCTTTAAGTCAAGACTCAGCACTCTCAGAAGTGGCAGGTGAGGAACTCGTTCTTCATGGCAGAGGGGAAGAAAGAGCCCGGCCTCAGCCTGGTCCCTGGATAGAAATGGGAGAGACTCGCTAAGGCTGGATCCTGTATGAAGCAGTTTGCTGACACCAGGATCCAAGTTTGGCTCTTTCCCCCTCCATTTCCAGCTGAACAAGTGCCAGTGACAGACCGTTTTTCCAGGCCCCTCCGCAGACAGGAGGCCGGTGGCCATCGCTCTTACCCACCCATGCACAGAACCATGGAATCACGGGATATCCTGCGTTGGAAGGGACCCACAATCATCATCAAAGTCCAACTCCTGGCCCTGCCCAGGACAACCCCAAGAATCATTCGGAGCGTTCAGAGCGGAATGAGGACAAACCCACGGGTTTTTATGAGGAGGAATCGGTTTATTTCACAGAAGCGGACGAAGCCCTGAATGCAGGGACGCGAACCCCCCCGGCCCGACCCTCCCGCTGGGGCCCGGCCCAACATGGCGGGCGTCGTCGTCGTCGTCTCCATGGCGACGCGTCCATCGCTGCGGTTGCCATGGCCACGGGGACGCCGCGACCATGGCGGGCGGCCCCGCCCCGGTCACGTGGCCGCTCGATGCGCTCGGCGCGCGGCTCCCCCCGGCGGCGGGACGGACCGACGGACCGGGACAGGGACCGAGGGACCGTCCGTGCCAAACCCCCACCCAACACCGGCGACATGTCCACCGCCATGAACTTCAGCGCCAAGAGCTTCACGCCGCGGCCGCCGGACAAGGGCGCCTTCCCGCTGGATCACTTCGGTGCGGTACCGCGGCCGGGCGGCCCCGCGCCGGGCCTGTCTCCCCCCGCCCCTGGGTGTCACGGCCCCGGTGGGTGTCACGGCCCCGGTGGGTGTCACGGCCCCTCGCTGTGTGTTACAGGGGAGTGCAGCGCCTTCAAGGAGCAGTTCATGGAGTGTCTCCGGCACAGCGGCTACGAGAGCGCGGCCTGCCGGGAGCGCGCCATGGCCTACCTGGAGTGCCGCATGGACAGGCGAGTGTGCCCCCGACACCGGCCCTGCCCCATCCCGGGCGTCCCCGGGACACGCTGGGGACCTGGCGGCCAGCCCGGTGGTCCCCGGGGCGAGGATCCCTTTGCGGGCACGGGAGGGGAAGGCAGCCCGCAGTCACACGGGGGGGTGTCCTTGAAGGTGCCCCGTGTGGCATCAGCATCACTTGGCTCGTGTTTCCATGTTTTCCAGCCCGTGCGGTGGGATAACAGCGGGACTCGGGCAGCTTCCATCCTGCACAACCGCATTCCTCGATGTGAAGCTTATTTTTTTTCCCAGCTAGTTACGAGTTAAACTTTTAATTTGCACGTACTTTGCTCACCTCCTGCCTGTCCTTCCTAATCAGCTCTGAGTGTGTCTTTAGGACCCCAATAGGTATTTGTATAACTTAACCATGAATTATCAGAGCCAGTGGTATTTCTTTGTGTATACTAATGCAACTGAGTCTTAATTAATGCTGAGATCAAAATACATCCTCGTATAATTCAATTATATAATATATATTTCCACATAATATAGATATATTCAAGTATATAATACATATTTGAGTATATAATACATATTCGAGTATATAATATTTTCCTATATAAAATTTTCCTGTATAATACATCCTAGTGTAATTCAGGTATAGTTCAAGCAGAAGTACTTTGGCCTGTTAGCCCCTTAGAAATATGTTTCAAGCAGGCAAGTTAAAAGTTCTACTTGTTCCTCAGGTAAAGTGAAAAAAGTGTTGGTGTTTGGTTTTCCAGGGATGTTTCCATTCTTGCATTGCTTTGCAGTGCTTCCTGTACAACGGTGAGTCAGGGAACTCTGGGAAGTAAATGAATTTCCCTGTATTTAAGGAAAATACACTTTTATGGGCTGGTGTCAAGGAGGGCTGCAAATCAAAACCTTGTTTGAAAATCACTGCAGCAAAGGATAGTGGCAACTAAAAGTGGTAATTCACTGTCATAAATGGCACAGGTAGAATTTTAGAAAGCTCTTATGCAGTCTGTTAGTTAAAGATAAACCAAGAGTCAGGTCAGTTTCTGAGGAAACTCTTACTCAGTATCTAAAATCAGGAAACAACACATTTATTTGGAAAACTGCTGTTAAGGAGAAAAAAAAAAGATCCCAGAATGTTGCTTTCTGAAAACTGAAATTTCTGAGATCTTGCCAAGCAGCAGTAACTCTCTATAGATGTCTTGGGTTTCTTTAGGGTGAGTGATACTAAATGAAGTGAAGAATGCTGCTGTTCTTTTGTTTATAGACTGTGTTCTCTAAAAAGCTTTTTGTTTTCTTCTTTTTAACTTAGGCAGCTTATGGCTAATGAACCACTGGAAAAATTGGGATTTAAAGACCTGATAAATGAGAAATCAGAAGAAAAACCTGAAAAGTTGTGATGAAGACAGACAACTTTGCTCCTCATGTATGGAATGCATAACTCTAAATGTAGTACATATTGTACCTTCTATTCATATTGCAGTAGGAAATGTTTCCTAAAGGAACATTTTTTCCAGAGTTTAATTTTCCTAAAATAAGATTTTTTTTTTAAATGAGCAAAAGTACTGCCTTTGTCTGCTTTGCTCAAGCATTTCTTAACTTCTTTCTTTTAATTTCTCTAGAGGGAAAACAGTTACTGCCTGAAGTGTTCTCCATGTCTCTGTAAGAACAGTGAAGTCTTATTTTAAAAGGACAAAACTCCCAAACCAAACAACCCTTTATTGTGTAGATCTTGAACTACTGATTAATCTTGTGTGGGCAGTACTAATATGCTCACAGGAGTTGCTTGTTAGGTGGAAATAAAGCTGTTGTGGTACTTGCAAACTGCTTTTCATTAAATACTGGTATTAGTGCCCATCTTTGGGGTGATCTCCTTCTCACCCTGCTAGGGAAGACACTTGGGGTGAGTGGTTTTTTTCAGTCTTAAAATCTTCCATCATTGTCAGGAGAGTATTTCTGGTTCCAGACACCAATCAGGTAGTGATTCTGCTTTTAGTTACCATGCCAGCAGTGTTCACCTAACTTCATTTCATCATTTAACTGGGAATCTTTCATTTTGAATACATTCACTTATCCAAATAGAGCTGCCATATGTTTTGGGGTTTTAATATCTTAATGGTGAAATCAATGTGGAGACAGAAATGGTGTTTATTTGTGCTCTAAGTTACCAAATATACATAATGTGATTGGACACTTTTATTCTTTCAAAATCAAATGTTTTATATTAAAAACCAGGGCAGATCAGGAGTTAGCTGTGTAAGAAATCCAGTGTTTCTTCCAACACATGTAGCTGCAGCCCATACATTGAAAAGGCCATGCAGCAGGTGAGAAATCAGCTCTGAGTGTGTCTTTATGATCCCTGATATGTATTTGTATAATTTAACCATGAATTACCAAAGCCATTCTCTTGCATGTGGTAATGCAATTGAGTCTTTCTTAATTAATGTTGAGTTCAAGCAGAAATAGTTTGGCCTGTTAGCCCCTTAAAAATGTGTTTCAAGCAGGCAATAAATTTGTAAATCCTTTGGCTGTATTTTCTACTGTATTTTCTGCCCTGTCACCCCTGCTTCTTTTGTTTTTGTTTTTAACCCAGTGACTCATTTCTCTGCCTATCTGGTTCTTGAACGTTAAGCTTTAAGGTCAGGGCCTGCAGACAGTGATACAAACAGTGATCTGTTTGTCAAGGCAATTCTCCAACACTTTCCTCTTTATTTGCTGTCCTCTCTTTGATATATCTCCCCTTCCCTGCTGTCTGCTTTTGCTTCTGCTTCTCTCCACTGTGCATCTGCTCATACTGAGCTCCAGGAAAGGGTGGAAGAACATTTTCTGCTTTTCATATTGATCACTGGAGCTGAGATTTAAATTGTTGCTCAGGTCTAATCTGATGGAACAGAGTGCACATAGCTCAGAGCAGGTTCCTGTTTGAAAAGAACATTTGCCTGCTGCTGCATATTTTTATTCTACTTCATTCTACTGTTCAAATTATATCCTTTGGTGAGATTAGTACATTTATAGAAAAGAAAGCAGAGATTGTATTTCTGCAACAGATATTAAAAGACTTTATATTAAACCACTGAACAAGAGCTTTCTTTCAGTGATACCAAGTTAGAATTAAAATAATCTCCAGCATCTGCAGAAGAAAGAAATCAAATTTCATGCTTCTGTGCTCCTTGAATATTATAAGGTGAAGTGAATTCCTGGTAGGTGTGAAAGAACCCACCAGTGGTGGGGGAGTAATCTGGGCTGTTATCAATGGTAGTTTCATTTTTTGGGTGTTACTCTGCACTGTTGTTTGGCCAAACAGTTCCTTCACGAGTTCAGTCCATGTTTTTCCGAGACATTGATACCAGCTCTGTCCTCTGGGTTGTTCTGGAGTAAAAGGGGTAAAGTTTTTGAGGTGTTGAGTGGTTACCACTCTAAAAGGGACCACGGGGGTGAGAGGTTTGCACCTTTCACCGACCCTAAGATCACATACTCATCGTGTCCAGATCCACAGGCACCTTTCATCCTGCTTCCCAGCACTGAAGTCAGCTGCACAACCCTGTTCCCTCATACCAGGGCAAGAAAAGAGCTGTGAGTGGATAGTTGAAAACTTGGGGAATTGGCAGAAGCACATATTTCCTGTAAGCATTAGCTGGAGAAGAGAATATGTTCAGTGGAGCTGTAAGGTAAGCTCAGAGCTGGTGAGGGACATCAGACACTGAGATCTAATGCAACTGAGACGTGGTGAGAAAAAAAGCCATTAATCAGTGCCAAACCTGGGTCAAACAGTTTTCCCAGCTTGCTCTATGGGACAAGCCCCTGGGACACCAGAGTCATCAGGGAGAATTCCCAGAATGCTCTTCAATTAACTCCTACCAACATACAGATCATTAATTAAAGCCTCTCCATTTAAAACCTCTTTATTTTAGCTTTGCTTGTGGTATCCAGGTGTGTGCTCCTTTAAAATGAAAGCCAAAGGAAAGCTGTAAATTCACAGCCATCTTTCCTGTGCCCATACCAAGGAGGAACCTCTCCAGAAGCCTGTCACCAAGCTGGGAAAAATCTGTATTCTGGATACGCTGAGCTGAGGTGTGCTTGCTACAGGGGAGGCAGTTTGTCAGGGGCACTGCTTCCTTCGTGGAGCCGTTTGGAGTTGATGAGCTGCTCTGCTGCGGGAGCGGTCCCACGCAAGTGCATTAATCTTCCTGGGAGAAGCCTGCCAGGTGCTGCCTGAGCTGCTGAAAAGCTCCACCTGCTGACGGATCCCGCGAGCTGGAGACAGGCAAATGACAGGGAAATGAGGTTGGGCTGGGATTGATGCACGGACTGCCAGCCTGGATGTGCAGATGTGGAAGAGATAGCCCGAAGCGGGAGGAAGTGTTGACTGTGTTGGAGCGAAGATCTATTTGAGCTGTTACCGCAGCAATAGAATCAATAAGTGAGGGGGCTGTAATTGTCTTTTCCGAAGCTTTCCTTCAGCAAAGCCTCATTCCCACCCTAAGGAGGCAGTCTGCTGCTTGGGATCAGTCCCAGGGAGTCCCCGGAGGGCTCTGGAACAGCAGAGCTTTGCTGTTGGCACTGGGGAGAGCCTTGCCCATGCATTCCCCCTTTCTTTGCTCATATTAAAATCCATTCAACCACAAAGAGCTTAACCTTGATCATGGCAGTTATTTACAGAGGGAACATTGCTGCAAGCCAACCCTCGTTATGTCTTCCTGGGAGACCTTGAGCTCTAGGTGTATCTCTCCAAACAACTCCAGTGACCTGCAGAACAAGGAAGAAAGGGTTTAATAAACATTTCCAAAGCTCTGGGTGTGCTTTCACAGAAAATCCTACACAAAGAGAGCCTCCTGTGCTTGCTCTGGAAGTGGGCCATGGTCCAAAGTCCTTTGTGGGAGCACAATGAGCCCGTGCCTCTGTGCTGAGGAGGGATCTTTGCTCCATCTGCCACCTGGAATGGTGTACCTGGTGTAGCAGGAGGGTTGCATCTGTCAGCACCTGTGAAGTGAATATTTGGGGTTGTGCACAGTTAGAGGCAGGCAGTGGGTGTAGCTGCTGACCTTCACGTTTGGCCCTTTTCCAAGGCCTTCTCCCCAGTTTGTCCTGCCTGCTTCAAATCCAAGGAGTTCCTTGTGGCTGGGCATTACACTTATGTTTAGTAGTCACCCACTTGGTTTCCTTTGGAGACCATGGAGTTGCTTGCCTTTGCTGATGATTAGTTGCCTTTTGGGGCAGCAATCAAAACAGCTTTCCCTTACTGCTGCTTTTGTGGTTTTGGCTTAACCAGCACTAACAGTGAGTGAGGGGTAACTAGAGTTAAAGCACCTCTTAAATTTCACCTTCTTGTCTCATTCCAAGCAGGCCTGGAGAGCACTGAGAGGCAACACTATTTTCACTGAGCCTCTGGAATGAAACGTATGTTGTGTGAGGCTATGAGAGAAGGAGCAGCCTGCTCCCATACAAAAAGTCTCTTTAGCATCACTTGTTGCTGTAGGCTCTCAAAATGCCTTGGATGTTCTGGTTCCACTGGAGAGCAGTATTTTTCTACATTTCTCATCCGTAATTCCTGGGATGGGAATGATGCTTCTGCTAGAATGCAGGAGTGTGGTCATTTCTGGTAGCATATTCAGTGACCTCAGAGGACTCGGTTGCTTTTGTGCCTGGAGGAGATCCATTCTGGAAGAGATCTTTCTGCTAAATTGGTAATGTTGTGTAAAGCTTCAGGTTTCCCACAAAAATCAAAACTCTGACTCGAATTAATTAAAAACCTATTTGCAAGTGCACATGCAAGGGTCCATTTTCCCTTCCAGAGTATTTCAATGAAAATTGGATGTCTGATTAATCTTATCCTGGTTCCCCCTTTTCTTTTCTTCCCTTAATGATCCTGCTGCTGTGAATAACTGGCAGTGTTGCATTTTTTCAGGATGCAGCAGATTTTCTAGCTTACAAATTTCAAGACAAAATGCCTTCCTTCTGGAATGAAGGTGCCATATGGCTTGAAATGCATAATTGATCACTGCTCAAAATAGAAGCTTCATAGAAAGTCACCTAGAAGTCCAATGCATGTGTGCAGGGGACTTAATAGACCTTGATGCATTTTTTGTTTCCTGAGATTGATGATCATATAGGGACAGGTTTTTATGGCTCCTCTTAGAGGTTCTGATGCTTGTGCTCTCATTATTCCAGGAGATCTTGGGAGTTGCATTAGCAGGTGCATCAATCTTATGCTTGCTGATCCCTGCTGGGCTTGGCTGGATGAAAAACACCCCAGACAAGCCTGGCATTCACCATATAGCCCAACAAAGGCCATAGTTGTATCTGTGAGTGTAAAACAGTTCAGTTGATCAAATCTGGTGGACTGAATCCAGCCCTTGGTGCCCCATATTTCCCACCTCCAGTGGGATGCCTCCACAAGCAATCTGTCCCAGCTCCCACACAGAGTGAGGTAGGTTCCTATTGATGTGGGAGGGATGTGGGGGGTTCCATCTGGCTGTGTGCCCTGCTTCCTGGTAATGAGCAACACCTTAGACCGCCCAGTATTTGTGGATGCTTTTCTGTTCTGGTCCTTATGAATTATGGCAAACTCTGATGGGAGTAGCGCTGGGAAGTTGCCTTGAAAAAAGAGAGCAGAGCAGGAAAGAAAGAAAGGAGACTACCCAGATTGAACTAGACTTTTCAATTCACCTTGATAGGTTTAAAAAGCAGGCAGTGGAGGTGCTTCTGCAGCCCCTTTGGGCAACTGAGTCCTTTGTCTATTTTGGTAACCTTCAAGGAGTTGACAGCTCTGATTTCTGGAGGATTTCTAGTTTTCTCACTGCTAGCAAGTCCTGCTCAGCAAGAACCTGCTCACACACCCA